ATGATATAACTAATTTTCCATTTAGGTTCTAAGGTGTGCACAACTCTTGCTATTTCATTGATTAATTTAGTCTCTAGCTGTAAATTTATAAAATAAATAACACTAAATGATTATCAATTTGTTCTCTTCTTGGGCAAAGCAGACCCATGGCTATTTTGAAAGAAAAATAAGATTAATGTTGGAGAAATTATTTAAAGTACCTTATTTAAGGTAATAAAATCTTAATGTAATAAAACTCGGTTTTGTGCAATCATTTATACAAAAAGAGAGGTGGGGAAAGCAGATCTCTTATTAGAGTCCCTATGTTCTTCATCTCACTTAATTAAAAGAATAATAGTGTGATTAAAAAAAACAAAACAGATTTCTTCCTCCACACTGTAATCAAACTTCCTTCAGTTGAAATTAACAGTTCAATAAAAATGGGGGGAGGGGGAGATAGACGTGGAAGATCTTTTTTGCAGCACCAAATTAGATCCAGTACTTTCCATGAAAAAAAATGTGTCAAAATAGTAGAATTTATCAGAGTAACAGTAATTACCAAAGCGCCACTGTTAAAATAATCATGTGTTATTATCAGTTTTGAACTTATGTGCAAAGGCAAAGGTAAATTTAATGGAGACCATTAAATTATAATGAAGAAATCTATTTAGTAATATCACTCAGGAGTTCTCATAGGGAGTAGAATCCACACCAACTTTGGAGTGAGATCTATCCCAGGCTATAAATATTAGACAGGGGCAACAGCAAATATTTTCATGTCCTCATCCTCATCCTCATCCTCATCCATATGTTTATAAATGTATTTCATAAGTTCCTTCCTTCCTTCCTTCCTTCCTTCCTTCCTTCCTTCCTTCCTTCCTTCCTTCCTTCCTTCCTTCCTTTCTCTTTCTACTGTTTGGGTGTAGTTCCCGTAATTCATTATGCTCATTTGCAGAAAACATGATTCTCCACTAATTTGCTTTCCAGCTCCATTCTCCTATGCAGGGCAAAAAAGACCCAGATGATCAGCTGGGACTCGGGAGTCAGAGAATAGATGGGGGCCCGGCCAGTCAGAGGTGGTATTTGCCAGTTCTCTGAACTACTCAAAATTTCCAATACCGGTTCTCCAGAACTGATCTGTGATGACCCGTAGTCTCTCAAAATAACCCAAAACAGTCCGGTAAAGCCTTCAACTTAACTTCACTGTTTTATTAGGCACAGTTTAAAGTCACAAAAGTAAATAAGGAGGCAAACAGAAAAACCAAAACAAACCGCATTGATGAGAGTTCTGAAGCAAGCCAAGATAACTAACTATAAACTCCAGGAAAATAACCAAGAAAAGTCCATGGGAAGAACGCCAGCAAAGATAAGCCTCTTTCAAGGTGAACACTAATTGACTTCAGCAATTCTAACTGCGCAATTGCAAACTTATATACATAGCTCCCACCTGCAAGCCACGAGGAGGATCATGGCAATCTCCTCTTGAGTAGACTTCGCTTTTCCCTGATCCTCTCCTCCCTGCGTGACCTAAGATGGATAGGGGATGGGCCTGGATCCTCCTCTGACTGCTCAGCTGGCCTCTGCCCTTCCCCAGCCTCCTCCACCACCTCTGGAGCCACACTCCCACTCCTTGTTGGCTGTTCCTCCTCTTCCTCAGAGTCAGTCCCCACCAGGGGCATGACATGGTCAGAACCTGCTGAATACCACCTCTGCTCAAGGCGTAAGTGCCTACTTGGTTCTCAGTTATATAGACTTGAAGTCAGTATAGAAACTAGTGCAAGTAGGAGAGTAGATTGTAGGTTCAAACCAATCTTTTTTTTTAATGAAGTTTTATTTGGGTTTTCACACATACAAAACACAAGTAAAACATCTTTTTTGAAAATAGCATGGTCCCGGGTTGAACTTCTTTATACAGACACAAAACTCAATTTCATGCTCCTATCCTATTCCATATCTTATACTATTTTACATTTTCTATATAGTTTTTCCCCTCTTTTGATTTTCTCAATTAAATTTGATTATCTCATCTCAATTCAAATCATTATATTTATACTTTTGTTTGTCCTGTTTCAATTTCATATTATCTTTTCTCATTAAACAAGTTTTCTCCTGTATTTACTAATTGGAGTATGACACCTTTACATTTTTTAATTACATGCATTAAACTCTCATTTAAACTTCAATATATACCTTAAGGTTATGACCTTCAATATAATACATAATACATAACTTCCAATCGAATTCTGCTTGGTACATTCCTCTAATACACACTATTTTTTTTAAAAAAAAGATTGTAAATATATGTAATTATAAACCCTCATTGCGTTTCAGTTCAGTTCTACCATTAATAATCATTAACATCTTAACATCTTTAACACTTCTTTTCAATTAAATATCATACTTTCTTAAAAACACATATAATTTCCATAATTAATTTTTCCCTTATTTCTCTTCACATATGTTTTATAATTCATTAAATATACCTTTTATTACATTTATTTATTGACAAGCATTCCGCTGAATTATGATAGCTAGTTTATCAGACATTTTAATCATACATTGTTTCATATTTTCTAAAATTATTTTTGTTTCTAATATAACAATACTATCTTATGTACCTTTGCAGAATCCCTTCTTCCATTAAATTTTCACCCATTATCTCTAAATAGGCCCTGTTTCTCTGTATTTTGTTTCTGTCCTTTATGACTTCTTTTCCTTTCTTTCTTCCTTTTCATCTTCTCCCTCCCCTTTTTACCCCCTTGTCTCTCTATTTCTAATTCTCTCTTCTGCATTTCCCTCTTCTGTTGCTTTCTGATTTTATACTTATTTTTCACTCTATTTTTTGGGTGGGGGAGTTGTTTTTCCCAATCTTAAACTTTCCATTCTCTTTCCCCTCTTTCATTTTTTCCCCCATCTAAGATTACTTGTTCATTAAAGATAACTTCTTCTTTGTTGCAATCTTCTTGTTCTGCAGGCATTTCTTGTTGTTTCTCATAATTCCAAATCTCCATTTCTAAAAACTGAAATACAAAGCCAAAAGAACCTCCCCCTTCTTGTGCATCTTCTTTGTACTTTTTAAGTTCCATTTTCAGTTCTTCTAAAAGTGGAGCCATTTTAAACAGTTTTAAACAACCACCCGATTGATTTTAGTCATTCAAATACAATAACCAAAAATACAGAAATCATCAAGCAATCCAGATAGTCCCGAGTTATATCTTCTTATTTCTTTTTCGACTTTCTCTTCCTGGGGTTTTTTGTTGCGATATTTCAGTTAGAATGTATCTTTTGGAAGTCTTGTTGAGATTTTGCTATAGGTTCTTTTTTAATTCCAGGCAGTTTCCTTCCTTCCAGATCCTGCCCTTTTATTCTTCCTCTCTCCTTTCCTGTTTTCAAAAGCTTTTAATTATCCAGAAATCTTTATTATCCTTTTGACTTTTTATTTTCACCATTAAATGCCTATTGATGTCGAAGTGGATTTTTTTCCAATTTCTTGCTTAAGTCTCTTAGCTGTCAGTATAGGAAAAGGAGAAAAAAAAACCAAATCTTTTCCCTTTTCTCTCTCCTTCGCAGCTTAAAATCTTCTTAGGGAACAATGTTATTGTTTTTTAATAGTTTCAATTCCAGGGTACCTTATTTGTTCCTTTTGCTGTTTGACCCGGTCAACCAAAAGTTTCTCCTCTTATCTTCCTCCTGCACATTCTTTTCCAGTCGAGTTCTTTGTAGTGGCCATTTCTGACCACCACTGCAACCGCCTTCGGGAAAGGGAGTAATGGCCAGGTGGGGAGGAGAGATGCGGCTCTCCTCAACCCTGCAGGCAGTCTCCCCGCTCTTCACCACCTCTATGGGGTGGCTTAGCCCCGAAGCCAGCCAGCTCGGGGCACTCCAGCGGCGAGCATGGATCGAAGCCTCGCAGAGACGAAGTTTCGGTCTGTCGCTGAAGAAGCTCAAACCGGAAGCCCAAACCAATCTTATGATATTCAGCTCCTATGCATTTTTATTGTTGCATCTGGTAGTTTATCGAGTTTAATGAAAGCTGTCTAGAGTCATGTATGTAGATGGGAGAGCACGAAGGGAGGGAGGGAGGGAGGGAGGGAGGGAGGGAAATCACCTTAAAATATAGAAATGTAGAAACAGTTTATCCAACACTTAAATGAATAATATTATTCTGAAGAGCTTAAATGAGTAGTTAAAACATGTGCCTGATATTTAAATGACAACAGAATCAAATGTCTCCTTCTGAAGGAATTCAAAACTAAGGAGTCATGATTAAAAAGGATCCATCAGGCTTTATCCCAAACCACAAAATTCACAGTTTTAGTCCAAGTAGAAATACTCCATGTTCACTTTGACAGCACATATTCTAAAGTACCAATGCTGGACGATAAAAAAGATGAGTACTACATTTTTGTTGTTTCTTTAAATTCTTTAAATGTAATGTTAAATATATTACATTCCCTAATTCTCTCTAAAGTTCAATTCACATTTTCTTTTAAAACACAGAGAAGTTGAATGACTCTGCATCTATTTAAACACTCCATGAGCCAAGAAATGCTTTTTTGAAATGAATAATTAAAATATGGTATCAAACATGTACTGAATTCTGCTTTAAAAAATACTGGCAACATTGATCATATTTGTCTATCGACCAAAAGCTATGAATATTTTTCATTTCCTCATTACTTAACTTTTTATACCTGGCTTCTGGACCCAGTTGGCAAGGTACCCATGGCCTCTTAGGTTTAATGATGTCTAAAGATGTATTCATAAAGCTATATCTAAGATCAGCAGTTACTGAGTTCTTCAGAAACATTGCTTTATTCCCAGAATAGAACCCTCCAAAACAAAACTGTGTTTTTTCTTTTTCTGTGTTGCTAGTTATGGAAAGAACTCAGTGGTTTGCAGCCAGGTATCCAACGTTTTAATTGGAGGGCAATTCTATCTGTTACCTCTTGTTTAAATAAAACAAGGATTTACTGAAACATGCTCATGATGAAATAACAATGTCAAATTAAGGAACTTACTTTACAGTGGTCATGTTGCTGCTGTAAAGTTGGAACATCTCCACCAACAGGCATCTGCTTCTTTAATTCATCATCTTTCAAATTTAGCCACTTGATAAGTTCTTCCAGTGACATCAGTAATTTACTCCATTTCTCTGCACTTGCCTCCAAATGAGCCCTACAATAAGATTCAACATATTTTTCAGGAGTTTTGTGCTGCATTAAAACATACCAGATTTCAGCTGTCAAATACTGTACTGTGAATAGAACAGGCTAGAATATGGAAGGGAAGGGAACAGAACAGAAAGGAATTCTTCATTGGCCAACTGTGATTGGACACACAAGGAATTTGTCTCCTGTGCATAAGCTCTCAGTGTACATAAAAGATATAAGTGATAATGCAATTTTCTTTATTGCATTATATGCAAAGGATAGAACAAACAATGCCTTCCATATATTTGAAAAGTATTTATAAAGGAATGAATCTAGTAAAAAAAACAAAACAAATAATACCATGATACTAAAGTGCAGTTTAAAATCTTATTTAATGGATTTCTAAATGTGTTAAAAATAAATAAAAACACCAAAAGCTTGTCTTTCTTCTGCACTGCCTGCAAATCCAAGCTCTGGCCAACATATAAATGGATCTCAAACTTCCCATACTCTCCAATTTTTTGAAGGCAATTGTTTTAATTTCCATTTAAGTTATCACATTTCCAGAAAAGCATAAGCTTTTGAGAGTTAACCAGATAGATAAACACTGTTGATACTGATTATATTTTGCATTTTGCTAAATCAATAAATCACTAGAGCACTGTGCAGTATTTTAGTTAAAATGACATGCTGTTAGTGTAACTATACTGATCTGATGTCAGATCTCTTTTATTTAGTCCCTTGTTTATGTCAACATATGGCATAAACACTGTAAGGAAATTGTTACAATCTTCTACAGCCATATTTTTCCTAGAATGATGGTAAAAGTATCCCATATCTCACCTTCAAATCTATCTGTTCAATAATATTACTATTGAGAGCATTACAACTGATAAACAATTTTAATGCCTATATGTCACCTAGGCTCCAAGACTCCAATTAAAAGTTCTCACTTTAATTTTCTGATAAAAGTTTTTAGTTTTCAGAATGAAATTCTAGCAGCAGAAAAAGAGTTGTTTTAATCTTAATGCAATAGGTGCATCCAATTCTCAACCTAGTTAGCAAATAACAATTTGTTTTAGTTCATACATTGCACTGAACAATAAACTAACTATACAAGGGAAGTAAACACAGCATTATAAAACAGAAAACACTTAACCAAAATTTAACCAAACAAATTTAGCATGATATAAACATACTAAACCAGTCCAGTTAAGTTGGTTGTAGGAAGATAGATTTCATATTTTCTAGTAGATTATAGATAAAAGTAAAGGTTCCCCTCGCACATACATGCTACTTGTTTCCGGCTCTAGGGGTGGTGCTCATCTCCATTACAAAGCCAAAGAGCCAGCGCTGTCCGAAGACATCTCTGCGGTCATATAGCTGGCATGACTAAACGCCGAAGGCACATGGAACACTGTTACCTTCCCACTAAAGTGGTCTGTATTTTTTTTTACTTGCATTTTTACATGCTTTTGAACTGCTAAGTTGGCAGAAGCTGGGATAAGTAACAGGAGCTCAGTCCGTTACACGGCATTAGGGATTCGAACTGCCGACCTTTCTGATTGACAAGCTCAGCATCTTAGCCACTGAGCCACCGTGTCCCTTGTGGATTATAGAGACAGTCATAAATTCTTTTTGTGGGAAGGTGAAAAGGAGTGTTCCCATGCTACAATGAAAACCATCTGAACACAGAATTCATTCATCATAAGCTCTAGCAAAAAAAAGTAGTACAAAGGTAAGTGGTCAGCTGACAGCAAGGCTTTGTTGAATTTTCTCTCCCTTCAGCCAATGGAGAACTCCAAAAAGAGAAGGCTTCCAGTGCCCAACTCCCATTCTTGCTCCTCCTCCTGTCACAGTAACATTTCACAGCAAAGTAAAACAATGCATATATATATATATATATATATATATATATATTGCCCTTTGGGATAAATTATATACGAAGATTTATGGGTTAATAAAATAAATAGATCAAAAGGCATGAGATGTGAAAAGATAGCTGAATGTAGTTTACAGCTCTTTCATCTACTTCACTTTTCCATGTCTTTTCCCCCCTTGAAAATGTTCTTGTTCTGCTATGTCCACATACCATTCATTGATTTTCACTCTTTAAATTTCCAGTCTCTCTAGGGATTTCATTCTCACCTTTCAGTCCTAACTTTCTTAGTCTTCCTCTTGACCCATTCATTCTTACTTTATACATTTACTTGGCAATTCAATCCTCATTCATTCTATTGACCAAACCATAAATTAAACACCTTTGTATTCAACTCACACTTGCTCACTACTTAATCATTAATTTAATCAGCTGATTCCTCTGTAGTCTTTGCATTCATTCTTGCTATTTTTCCTTTATATACTGGAAAATAATTACATTTTTCTCTTAACATGCATCATAAACAAGTCATATAAATATTCTATAAGAAAATTGCAAAGTACTTTTAATACATTTCTAGTTATAATATTTACATCCACAACTTTACCATTTTTCAATATTGCAAGAGAATAGCATCCTTTTCATTATCTTTTTCCCTTGGACTCTAACCTCTATAGCATTTGCCTCAATTCCATTCTTTGACATATTGCTATTATTTCCATAAAAAATATCTACAATATTTCTTTCAGTATTCCTTTAATTTATCCCATGTCCACTTAATCCTATAGAAAAGGGATCCTCAACCCGCTGAAGCTTGTAACTTCAAACTGTCGCTAAATGAATGTTGTATGTCAAGGACTAGTTGTATTTGCCCAGGAGAAAGAACAATATGTTTATTTTATATTGAAAGCGATAGTGAAACATAATGTAACAAAATCCCTAATCATTTTAAACAATAAACCTAATATCAATAAAGATAGCTTGAAACAAACAAAATGCCCTTGCAAACAAATCTAAAGGTAAAACAAATTATAACAATCTATTAGCAGGGAGTATCCATCTAAACATTAACATTCTTTTTTCTAATTTTGCTCTAGAGCATTTCTGAATATTTACTAGGATGCTTCTGACTGCCTCTGAAGCTGATGTGAAAATCTCTTAATTTTATTGCTAATTATGTTGTTATCTGTTTAGCTTCCTACAACTTCTTATAGCAAAAGCATGACCTGTCAACGTCCCCTATTGGCTAATTAATCACACTCATTTATTAAGTATTGAGACACCAATGTATACATGTTATTTATTTATATATTTATTTATATACATCAATTCTTTTACCTAATTTTCTCTTTTGTCACAATACTTCAAAAAACATATTAATTAAAAGTACTTCATAGGATAATATTCCCTATTTATTTATAAAAAGCTGTGGCTCAAATATTTAGATGGCATAACCTCAAGAAAAAAGTGGGTCATGCACAAAGATAGTGACTTAAAACACAAGTTGTATAGTCAAAGAAACAAAAGGAAGAACAAAAGGAAGTTTATGGTGATGTTTGTTCTTAAGACTTGGTCTTGTGCAAGCCAGAAGTAACCCATTGTCTCTTTTTTCAACTCTTCTTCAGTTAACCATAACCATTGATGTTATCTGCTTTGGCTGTTATTTTTTAATAAGCTGCTCATGTAACATTTTGCCTTGTCATATCTCTTTCCTATTCTTTATTTGATATTTCTTGTTGGCCTGTTTAGTCTCTCTAGTACTTTCCAGATATTCAGGTTTTCAGATACTCTGATGCCCCTTTTCTTCTTTAACTATTTGGTGGACTTGCAACATTCCACACCCACCTATTTTCCTTACTAAAGTTTGTCACCATCACTGCATAGAAGAACAGCATGATTCAATGTCATTTCTTTGATCTTCCTATCCAAGGCTTTTAGTGCTGCCTGAGTCAGCCCACTATTCCAACTCTGTATCTAATGACTGGAATTGTCCAAGTGTTAATTCCTTGATGGTATTTCATGGACTTCTTCAGTCCCACAATGTCTTCATTTTTAACCTTCTTCTTGACTTCAGCATGCTTGATTTTGTCAGCTTGAAGGACACCCAGCTATTTGTAATGATGGTCTTCATCCAGACTCTTGATGTTATTTCCATAAGGCATTTTGATTCCTTCAGTTCTTACTATTTTTCCTGTTTTGATAGTGAGGGTGGCATGTTTGTCCAAACTCCACTGCAATATCTTGGCTGCATATACCAACAATGCTGAGCAGCAATTCTATTTCAGATGGTGTTTTTCCATATAAATTCAGATTGTCTAAGTAAAGGAAGTGGGATAGCCTGACAGATGCTTTTAATGTTTGATAGCCATGGCCGGTCTTATTCAGTATTGTTGACAGAGGAATCAGTGCAATGACAAAGAGTAATCATGATAGTGAACCTTCTTGAAAGAGTCATCTCTTGATATTAACCTCTAATGGTTTATCATTGAATGGTGCCTTTTATTGTGCCACTGATCTTTGTGCAAAGCTTCTAACTTCTGATGTTATTCCTAGGCTCTTGATTATCCAATCATGTGGCAGGGAGTTGAATAATTTCTTATAATCAATTGAAACTACTTTCAGGTTGGTCTTCCTTCCACTGCAGTTTTCCAAAAATCAACTTGTCAATTAGGAGTTGACCTTTTGTTCTTCTGCTGTTTCAAGAGGAAAGAGCTTGTTTTCAACTAGATGCTGTTGAACTGCATTTGTCACCACATCAGTTAGCAAACTGAAATTGTTGGTAAGCAGGTAATTGGCCTATAGTGCTGGTGCTGCAGCTTTGGTTGGAACTTTCATAATCAAATGAGTTTTGCCAGATGTTTAGCAATTTTCAATTTTACTTCCTTGCAATATGTTGTTAAACTGCTTGGTAATGAGCAGGTATGTGGAACAGATGTTTCAACCAAAAACCAATCAATTCATCTTCATCTGATACTGACCAAATCTTGATCTTCCTTGCCTTTTCTCTACCATTTCTGCTGTTATTACAATTTTCTTTTCATTTCAACTTCTTTTTTATCCTTACTCAACTCCTTTATCCAAGTTGCATTATTGTTGTATTTCTATGGGTTGTCCCATAACTACCTCAGTACTACACTTCTTCTTTGTCAAGTGTTGACTTGTTCAGTGTGTCTCTCCATTGATGCATTGGTAGAAATGTTTCTATTTGACTAAAATTGAGGTTCTGCACATAGAATGCAATTCAAACTTAGTATCTGCTGATGTTATTATATGGAGTATCTATGAGGGCTATCCACAAAATAGATTACGTTTTTGTCTGTAGCAAGAAGGGGCGGAGCTAGCGTGGCCATCTTTGGTCTGTGCATCCGCTGCTCAGTCTGCATCTAGTCGTGCTAGTGGGAGGTTCGTATTGTTGCCCGTTATTTCACAGCAAACATTTGAAAGGTGTGCTGCAATTGAAAATCCCTCGAGTTGTGAGGTGCGATCAGTGATAAGGTTTTTGTTGGCAAAAACCATAAACTGATTGAAATTTTTTGGCAACTGTGTGAAGTGTACGGGGACAACATCATCACTAAAGGTGGAGTGCACCAATGGTGCATTAAATTTAAAAATGGCCAAACTATGGCACTCGAGAGTCCTGAATGCTTTCAAGTGGGAGATTTTTCCTCATCCGCCTTACAGCCCTGATCTTGCACCAAGTGACTACCACTTGTTTCCGAGGATGAAGACTTGGCTTGGAACACAGCGCTTTGATGCCTGAGATTTGAGCCAGTCAGTCATGCCCGCCCGAAGTTCCGCGTAGTTGTCAAAGCGCTGTGTTCCAAGCCAGGTCTTCATCCTCGGAAACAAGTGGTAGTCGCTTGGTGCAAGATCGGGGTGCAAGGTTTCAGAAGTAGTTTGCCATTGTCTCCTTTCTGAGGCCAAGAGAGAGTGACTGGCCCAAGGGGACACAGCTGGCTTCGTGGCCAACTTGGAACTAGAACTTACAGACTCCCAGTTTGTAGCTTGGTGTCTTAATCACTATACCAGCCTGGTTCTCCTATTGCAAGGGTCTTCAAACTTAGCAAGTTTAAGACTTGTGGACTTCAACTCCCAGAATTCCTGACCTAACATGACTGGAGGAGGAATTCTGGGAGATGAAGTCCACAAGTCTTAAAGCAGCCAAGTTTGAAGACCCCTGTCTTATTGCCTGAAAAAGTATCAATGTTATGGACCCTAGTCTGAGAGCCACTACTAATTTCACACAACCCAAAAATACAACACAGACTCACAGCTTCCTTCATTATATACTTTGATGATCAAGATCACCTACAGATTTGAGTCCCACAAGGCATCACTCAGCCTAGGTTTCATTTTTGGGGACACAGATCAGCTATCAATCAGTAAATAAGTAAATAAACTGGCATCATCCATTCTAATGTTGGCAGGCTGCATACACAATGAATGAGCTCCTTTAAGATTGTTTTTTTCTTATCATTAGACAGGGAAGTATGCAGGTCATTTCATTTATGTATAGTAACTCTTTTTAAAAGAAGCTTGTCTGACTTAATAAATAGGCAGTTAGCAGCAGCAACATGCTCTTCTGGGATCCATGGTAGCTATTTGCCATGAAAGCCGTATGCAGTGCCATGCAAAAGAACAATTTAATATTCTGGAGTTACTTTTACAATCATTCTATGCAGTGTTTTGTTTATGGATCCCTTTTACCTGTATACATGTAGTCCACGACTTACAACAGCTCATTTAGGGATCATTTGAAGTAACAACAGCACTAAAAAAAACAACTTATGACCATTTTTCACACTTATGACCATTGCATCATCTCCATGGTCATATGATTTACATTCGGATGCTGCTATATGGCAATTGATTCATAATTATGACGGTTGCAGTGTCCTGGGGGGGGGGGTCATGCAATCATCTTTTGCATCCTTCTTACAAGCAAATTCAATGGGGAAGCCAGATTCACTTAACAACTATGTCACTGATTTAACAACTGCAATGATTCACTTAACAAACATTCAAAGAAAAGTCGTAAAATGGGGCAAAACGCAACACATTTCTCACTTGGTAACATAAATTCTGGGCTCAATTATGGTCGTAAGTTGAGAACTACTTAATTATTCATTTATCAAGATTATATTTAAGGTTATATATGCTGATAGAAGTGAATGAGGCCTTATAATCTCTATATCTATGTACGGGATTTGTCCAACTCAACTGCTATTAATCTATAGAGCAGGATTTTAATATTACCTTTCTGGATCACATGATTGTCTATGTTAATGAAACTAAATGTTTCTTCTCTTTTCTATAGATTGCCTTATGAGAACATGCTAAACAACTGTTCTCAGCTTGATGTTCCTAATTGAGCTGAAATTAAAATGCCACAGTAATTGAAGGCCTGTACCTGCGGGACATTGCTCTGGGAAAACATCTCCTAAATTACGGTCCACAAATAATTTTAAAAATAACTTGTAATTGCTGTAACACACTGCATTTTTATGCAGATGCATAAAATATTGGAATGCTAAAAAGTAGCATCTATTTTATTAAATGTTCCCCAGGCTTGAGTGACATAACCACCACAGGCCACACACGGCCACCAAGGAGACTTGTGCAGCTTGCCAGTGGGGTTTGTTTGGTTTTTTGTTTTGAAAGCTTAACAAATTCAGTGCCAACAAATGGCTCTGCAACCTGGAAGGATATACTACTGCCTAGTTTTTCAGTCACTTCCAACCCAAAAGAAAAATTGTTAAATGACTCCAACACCTCCAGGTGTCACTAAGACTGCCAGCTTTAGCATTGCCGATGCACCACTAGCTGCCAAACAGATGATTGGCACGTCAGCAATTCTGACATGCAGTTATTGTTAGTGTATTAATGTGGTCCTTTTGCCTTGAACACCTTGCCCTCAGAAGTTGTGGGAGCACCATCACTTGAGACTTTCAACAAGAGATTGGACTGCCATTTGTCAGAAATGGTGTAGGGTCTCCCGCTTGGGTGGGGGGGTGGACTAGATGACCTACAAGGTCCCTTCTAACTCTGATTATCTGTTATCTGCCTGTATGAGTTGTGCAGGTTTGATCTTACCTGATATTGGCTGATTTTGCTTTTAGATCATTCCAGCGTTGGTTCATGTCATCAATACGATGTTGTAATAGTGCAGCCTCTTCAGAATTGCCCAACGCTTTTACCATCTTCTGCCGGTTTCCATCAATGCTCTTGAAGATATCATTGTGAGCATCAATTTCAGCCTGGATGTCCTAAGGGGAGAAAAAAGGCCAGCTAATAAATCCAGAGACAACTGATATTAGTTCTGTGTCCAGAAGAAGGAAATGAACCATTCAAAATCCTCACTGTCTATATAAAAATGAGTATATCAAATTTACTACATTGGAATTATTTTTAAAAATGCATTTTTCCATTGTGTTATGCTTCAGAAAATAAGTTATGCTGATTGTTAACTGTGGATAACTAAGGCTTTGTTCTGAAGCTTTCCTGTACTAAAAATAACATACATGCCAAGATGCCACTATCGTTATTGCAATTTATATCAAAGACTACAATGAAAATCAGTAAAGACAAATCCTAGGTGATTGCAATCCTCCACAAAGCATAGTGAGCTTCTAGAATTTTCCAATGTCTTAAAAAAAAAGATGAACTCCTCCTCTACTCCTACTTACGAAACAAATAACTTGTTTAAACTGAACCCAGAGGTGTGGACTTCAGATCTGCATCCAACATACAATGAGTGAAAAATACAGTGCTGACATTGTTCTGTTATTTGGACTAAACAACTGGAAATGGTTGAAAGAATAAATCCGTGTTCTAAAAATACAAAACTGCTATCTTCAGAGATATTTCAGGAAGATATATGTTTATAATGCTGCTGAATGCTATGTGAAGCATGTCTACATTTATATTTCAGTCTTAATAACTAGGTGGAACTCCCAAAGTCTCATTTTCATCTAGCTTGCTTTTATATGTGTTAGAAAATGAGAAAGGGAAATCATTGTTTGTTCTTTTATCTTTCATCTCACCAATCCATTAGCACACCTATAGAAGCTAAGAGTATTTTCCTTTACTTTCTATTTTAAGACTACAATTTCTTGAACCCATAGCTTCCTGAGAACTCCTTTTTTCCCCTAGAATCCTATATGTTGAAGAGCTTAAATGCTTGGACATGATTTCATGATTTGAGTTGACTTAAATGAAGACATGGCCTTTACATGTATTCCAGAAATCTAATGGAAGCTTTCAAGCTACAACCCTGATCCAGTATAGTATTCAAAATTAAATAGCATAATTTAATTGCTTTTCTGTGTTTTGGTTTATCATGCTATATTGTCTATATTTGCTCATATTTGCATAACACTGTGATGCATACAAACATAACAATTATCTTTGAAGCTTTATTGTTAAACAATGGAAATTATATTCATTTACCAATTATATCCTGCAAAAGTTCAAGCAGCTCACATAGAGTTCAGCCTTATTCATATCATCCTAAGAACAACCTTATCAGGGTTGGGATGAGAGCGAGTGACTAACCAAAACTCACTTGGCAAGCTTCTGACTAAGGATACAGTAAATTTAAATCTTCTCCAGTTTCTAGTTTAGCATTCTAACTACAGTAGTCACGACTGCAGTTTTGAAATCAGAAATGTATTTAATCTTCCAATGACACCCAAGGTATTACATTTTCAACAATAGGTTAGGATAATTCTAAATTTAATCTCATGTACAACACTGAATAAAATCAATATCCAAGTATTTAATAATTCTGTCCTTAATATTAAAAAAATGCAATCCAAATCCTGGTGGAGATCTGAGAGCTGCACTCAGAGCTTTGAGATGCTACACGATGTGCAGCTCTCATCTCTAGAATGAGGAACTTCTGACTTTCAAAATAGTGTTTAACTATAGTTCCTAAAAATCTATGCCAGCATAACCAGTGATGAAGAAGGCTGGTAGTTGTAGATCAAGAACAATATGCCACCATTGTTATTGGGGAAGTCTTTCAATGTTTAGGAAAAGATGTTTAAAGAGAAACATACAAACCCATAAGAGTTCCTGTATGTCTCCAAGGGATTACTTAGCATAATTTACTACAGAAATGCTTATAATATTACAAACATGGTATTTTTTCTTCAGAGAAATCAATCTGACAATCTTGACTTCCCTAAAGACCTGATTCTTCCCTCTTTCTACTCGGCATGTTTGGCTTTCCAAGCTTTTACATAGGAGCCCAGAGAGTAGCATTGCATCAAAAAATTATTATTATTATACACCCAACAGGCATTTAAAAATTCAATGACTATTCCTGTTAATTTTGGATATTATGAAATACATCATTATCCTCAATGAGGAAAACAAAATAAATGAAATATGAGATAACTGAGAAACATTGAATGCTAAATCAACATTATGACTAAAATAAAATTTGGATTATTAATTTTTAGAGCAATTTTAGTCTTCAAGAAAGACAACTGGCAATGGCCAAATCGGGAAAAGAATTCTGGTCTCACTTGAACAACCCAAGATATTTCTGCTGCAGAAAAATAAACTTTGTAATTGGAAGGGAATAAGTTACTTTCTATATTAAAATACCCTGTAGATCATGTATGGAATACTGCATATACTTCTGATTACCACATCTAAAAAGGATATTATAGAATTATAAAAGAACAACTAAAATGATAAGTTAGACCACAATAGTTTCCTTTTACGAAAGATAATTGATCTTTTTAAAAGTGAAAATAGGTAAGGGAAGATCAAAAAAAAAGTACATAAAATCATGGATAGTACGCAATGTGTCACTAGAGAAAAGGTTTTATTTCATACAATATTAAAATTCAGGATAATCTATTAAATCTCAGTGTGAAGAGACTGAAGAACAATAAAGGGAAGTATTTCTTTGTACAATGCATAGTTTATCTGTGAAATTTGGTGCCATTAGGTGTGATGATGGACATCAATTTATGATTAATGAAGAGGACATATCATATCTATAGAGATCAGGTGACATTTCAGAATTTTTGACAAATATTCAGAACAGTTTGAAATGACTCATGTATCAGTCATATAAATGCAGCTGTTTAAAAAGTTGTTTCTTGTTATCCTTTGAAAAATGAGGCAGAAACAGGTACACTTAATACTGTTCCAACATTTCCTATTGAAAGGGAAATAATATGCATTTTTGCTTCTCACCCCAAGGTAGTTAGGAAAGCAGTAATATTACATAACTATTTTTGTTTTATTTTTTCAATGCCTAGTTATCTAGGAGATATTCTGTTTATATGAGTGTATGCTCTACAGCAGTGGCCCCCAAACTTTTTCGAACCAGGGACCGGTTTCACAATTATTTATTCTTCCACGGACTGGTACCTGAGTAACATGAGACTCCACCGCCATCGGGACAGCTCTTCGTTCGAAGCTGCCCCCCCCCTCGACGAAACTAAGGCGCGAGCACCCAAACGCTGCTTTCCAACTGAAAAACCAGAAGCACTTTCCAACCCAAAACCCAGAAGCAACCGAAAACCCGGAAGCGCTGTCGAAACAAGATGGCGGTGCCCAAGCTTTGCGATCCGGTAAAAAATGATCCACGGACCGGTAACGGTCTGGGGACCGGTGGTTGGGGACCCCTGCTCTACAGCATGGAATAAACTTTAAAAAATACCTAATTCTATCATAAACATTGATTTTATACAGCTATTACTATTTATACTGCGGCCATCTCTTTCATAATGCCTAATGGAAAAATAAAACAATTTCAGAAAACAAGCAGTCTTTTATTCTCATAGTAGGACAGGAAGAGGCTTCAAATCTCAGTGGGACCATAATTTATAAATACATTGTGGTGTTCACTCAACAAGACTTTTTTTCAAAAACAAAAATGGAGAGAAACTTAGAAATAATTTAGTGAACATATGGGAAAGGCTGTAAATGGGAAGAACTCTCATACTGTATTTGCAAAGTATAATAGGATTTTTTTTATTGGAGTGCAATTTATAAAATCTGCATAAAACAAAGACACTCTATAGATTATAACAGAATATAGCTTAAGTCATAGAGTTTTTGAAAAACTGGAGGCAGAAGCTGATAGGGGAACAGGACAGGAATGTAACCAACTCTAATACTCCTCAAAAAAAAATTTGCTATTTTTTTTTTATTAAAATAACTACGGTATTGAAAAGTTGCAGTTATGTCACATTTTTTTCTGCTTTGTTTTATTTTGTATCTAAGACACCATACATACAATGTACCCAATAATCATAAGAATTCTTTTTTAAAAACCAAAACAGAATATAGTTACAAAATAAAACAATGCCAACCACTGTTATCAGCTAAAAATTCCATTCCATTCCATTTCATTAGATTGTAAAGAATTAAAGGAAAGCCTGACTTTCAACGGTTATCTGGTTTTTGGATTTTTTTTTTCGGGGGGGGGGGGGGAGGCTTTAATGTTTTGCCTTTTCTGCTATCAAAACTGTCCTGTACATAAAACTAGCTTGAAGATCAAGGAATTACACAGCAAGCTACTGAGTGTCAGAAACAATACATAATTTATTTTCTTTAATGCACTGTGATCAGAGTTGCATGACTTTGTTTTGTGAACATCTCTGCAGGAGATCCTAGGCAGAAGAAATGACTTCAAAATAATTATTCATTTTACCTTCTTTTCTCCTTTCTCCTTTTGTACCTTTTTATTTCCATCTGTTCTTTGGCCTTGATAGATATAATAAAAACTTGAAATTTAATAAATAAATAAATAATGAAATAGAATACTCACTCTGAGAAAGGGGCTAGCCTTTTATACCTAACTTCCAATTCAGTCAAGTTTTGAAGGAAGGCCACTTGCCTTTTCCTCATAAGCTGGTCTCACAGAGGGCTGTCAAACGTAATCACGTCACGACCCAAATTGTGACTTATCGCAACATTTTTTGCCTTTGCAGAGCCAGGGTGGGTGTGGCCTATGCAGGCCATATTCAGCCCACAGGCCGCCAGTTTGACAGGCTTGCTTTAGAACTGGACAGTGACAGCATTTGTTCAGTTGGCTCTTCAGATGGAGGGTAGACCACTCAGTGGCAGCCAGTAGGGTCCAATCCACTCCATCCTAGGTCATGTGCATATTGCTATGGAAAATAGCCAACTATCCTCAAATCACAATAAATTGTGATAATATTTTAACTCCCCAAATAGTGTTTTATCTTTTCTCTCTCTTTCCAGATAGTCTTTGACTTACAACAATGGTTCAAATTTA